GTGCATACTGTTCAACCTGATGTTAACAGAATGGAATTTTCTTTCGACTGTGTGTAGGGATGCAGTGCTGCCCAGAATTAGATATCTTTAAAGAGTTTAAAATGCAATAAACACTACCTAATAATCGCCTTGTTACTTTCAATGCAATTCAAGTCTTTAAGAGGTATGTGCTTAATATTTCCTACTGTGTAGGAGAATTTGCAGTCAGCCATAGCACAGAGCAGTGGAGTGGCTGATAACAGGCTTGTAAGGCAGATGTAAATGCAGAGACAGATGCCACCAAATGATGACAGTGTTGATGGCAGGAATGTGTGCTGGAAACTGTTTGTGGGAAATGAAGCAGCTAAACAGTAGACAATAAAATACTTTATTAAAAGGAAAACGTGAAGGTTTTTCCCCACTCTTGACATAACTTTCTTACAGAAGGTCTTTAGTTGTATTCCTGAAATAAGGAACTAACAATGGAGAGTTCAGCTGATAATTGAGCTTCTTGCAACATAATTTGTTACTCTAGTTTGATGGTGTATGCTGGGAACTCTTACATACTTAATGTGACATGAAACCGTTAATGCTACGTCATTGCTTCTAAAGCCAGTCATGTTCAGTGGTGACGTTGTGTAGGGTTAAGATGGCAGCTAACAACTGGGCCAGTGTGTAGGAATGTCAAGGGAGTGCCTGTAATGCTGTCTAATTGTCTGTTTTCCCAAAATTTTGCATTATAGGACTACTACGTGAAGAGTCTGCGAAGACAGCGGAAGACAGCTTAAACTGAAGATCTGCTTTAAAATGAGGTGAAAGAAAGCTGTAGTGGCGTAGAAAAATATAAAGTTGAGTTAGAATTTTTTTATATAAAATTTAATTCAGGACTGGTGTTTCCTCCCAGAGTTCAGAAAGATGTGTTGATAATAGCACATATGCTACTGAGAATATAAGTCCTGTATCCTTTTTTTTTTCTTTAAGACTTTTTAAGATAAGAAACCAACATAACCTGAACACATGGCTTGCTCAGTGTTTAATTGCAAGTTTTCATTCTTGGACTTTAAAAACACAAGAATAAATGTTTAGTATTTGTGTGAATCGAACTAAAATGAATCCCATTTTTACAACTAAGCTATTCCTAGCTTCTTGATATACGAGAAATGGAAATAAAGTATCTTTGAATTTCTGTTACAAATTTGATTGTCTCTGTCATTGAACGTTTAATATTAAATAAGTTTCTTTCCTAATAAATCTACTCATGTCTTCAAGCTTAGTCCATTAATTTGGATGCTTAGTTATTCTGTGCTGTTTGTGGGTTTGGGTTGTTTTGGTGCTATCAGGGTTTAATTTCAAGCTCACTGTGGCAGCAGTTAGATGCTGTTGGGTTGTGTGGCCCCTAAAAAGTGCAGTTTATGCTGCAGTTGGTTAAGGAATTAGATAAACCTCACAATCATAATGTAGGCACTGAGTCTTTATGGAGCAGTTTGAGTTTTACAGCACTACCAGAAAGATGCCAGTGCTGAGAGTGGCTGTCAGGCTGCCTCCTGCTTGCATTGCAGTGTCCATGTGGGATAGTAACAGCACACACAGTCTGCATATCACAGCAGATGCAGGGGGAGACTTGCCTTGTGCCTCCGTGTGAAGCTGTACTGCAATCAGGAGTAGTTCCTCTTGGAAAAGAACTGGAAGAGAACTGCAGTGTGTACTCATCAATGCAGCATTGAATTTACATTCTTTAAAAAAGCATTATCCTTTCCATTAGTATTCAGGACGTGGCTGTAAGTGTAACTGAAGTCAGGCATGGACAAAGGCCCATTGTAACTTTCTTGTGCTGATTTTGGTGTGCCTTGTGTGCTCTGTGTGTGAAAGTGCACGCAGAAAGGAGCTGCATGTGGGTCCCTCTGGTGAGTTGTGCTGGGGTTTGGATAAGGAGAGGGATACCACATGCAGAGGCACAGGGGCTTCAGACGGGGGGGGGTGGGGGTTTGGAAAAAAATAATGACATTGGGAGCAAGTAAAATGATAACCAAATTCTAATTGTGGCCATTGGATGAACACCTCTTCCTTTTGAAACTTCAGCCACTGCCTGAACGTGTTACTCTCAGTGGGGAAAATGTTGTGTCTTGCAGCTTCCACTGCACACACTTATTACAGGACTTGCATTTCCCCTCATTTTGCAGAAGTATAATGCTAACATGTGGTTCCTTGTGGTGAGTTAGATTGGGATTCAGATTCTGACATGTCTGATAGTGGAGTCTTCAGTACTTTGAAGATGAAGGAAAATTCTGTTTTTCAGAGCATAGAAAACATGTTGCCTTTCTGGTAACAGCCTTCAGATTTGATTGTGTGAACATCTCAAGAGACTCATTGTTGTGAGAATTACCATCTTCAGAGCTCGAGCCCAGGATAAATACCATCCCAGATTTTCTAGGAATGCTAAGCAAAATGCAAGTGGCTGATTTCAGTAAGCACCTCCCACATGTTTTCTCCATACTGGTTTTGACAGCCTGGCAGTGTTTTACTGGGTGTTAAAAATACGATTTTTTCAAAGTTGGGTTAAAATTTTAAGAGTGTCCTGTCCACTCTGGAGTGTTCCCCCCCAAAGAAGGAAGAGATTGAGGTACTTAAAACAACTGATACTTTAATATAAGTGAAGAGTAGCAATGTCAGTTCAGTACAAGTTTGTAGTGCAAACAAAAGTTGTCCTTGGAAGAACAGTAAGTTTTGTAAACTTAGTCTCAGTTGTCATACCAAGTTTATTGTTCAAAGGAAAAAAACCAACAAAAACCAGTTAACATAACTAGTGTGCCTTAAGAGTTTATCAAACTGCATAAAACATACAAAAATATTTCTCTGAATGCATAGATTTACTGTTAGTATTACAGTCAGATCATGATTAAAGTTTAAGTCTTAACATATTAACAGTTATTCTTGGTGGAAACGAGAGCAAATAAAGCTTTGTTACCCCAGCTGCTCCTACAGCAGTGGCATAATTAGTGGAGACAGTCCTTCCACTGCCTGCCTAAACAAAGGAGCTGGACAGAAATTAGGTACTTTTAATTTTGAGCCATTTAACCACTACTGTTTTTTAGACAGTTATTGCACATAATCTGAGCTAGCCTCCAAGCTGTGCTGGAAAGATAAATACACAACTGTTAAAATAAAACCTCCTTTCCTGTCCTACAAGAAAAACAAAGCAGGAGCCCTAGTCAGGAAATTTTACTTCATACTGTGTCACAGTCTTGAGCTTCCCAGGAGTTGAATCTGGGATTAAAGTAGTTTGTGGCTGGAGAAGGGCCAGGATTGAGAACGGGGAGTTAGCAGGGCTGGGGTGATAATATGTATATGGAGCATGTGGGTTTATTTTGAATACACTAAGCAGGAATTTGAAGCCTAGGTAACCTGGTGAAATCCTGAACCCAGAGTCAAGCATCTCTGCTGGCAGAAGGGGGTTCTGTGTTGTCCTGGCATGCAACAGGCTCTTACAGACCACACTCGGGGGAGCTTCTCGGGGTAAAGCAGGACACTGGGAAGGTGGCAGCCACACTGCTCCTACCAAAACATGGTGCTGGTACTATTTATAGTCTGACTGTCAACATTGCAGGCCAGATCAACAACAACAAACAGCACCAGCTGTGCAGAAACTGCTCTAGTGCGGCTTAGTAAAGCAGAGATGGAAGGAAAATCAATAGGGGGAAAAAAGCAGCTTGTGCAGATAAAAACAACTGACCCCTCCACCCTCCTCAGGACCCAGTTAAGGTTATTGGTGCAGAGGTCAGCATCCTAGATTTGGTACCAAAGAAACCAAAAAGCCTCCAAAAGTGTAGCTTTGCAGATTGCCATGTTAACAGGAACTGCTTCAGGCTGTTAATACTGCAGCAATGCTGTGACTTAAATACTTCGTTCGACCCATAGAGAGATGTTTTCATTACTGATTTGCTTAGATGCAAGTTTTGTAGCTTAACCAGAATTGTGGTTTTTTCATCCCCCCAAAATAAAAGAGTTGAAAGCACCTGGAGTCATTCAGCCCTTTGAGTACTCACCTGGCTAGAGCTGAAGGCTGTGTGAAAGTGACAGTAGGCTGTACCATGCAGAGTTACAGGTTAGCTGCTGTGTGCTTCCCATTCAGTGTGGCTCCTAAGGGCCTGGTACACTCCTGCCAGCTGTGACCCCTCCTGAGGAGACTGTTGTGCTTCTGCTCAATGCACAGGCTCACATCGTGGGAGAGGAAATGAATGAAACCATGGCAAGACAGACTGGGGATCCCCTCCCTAGCTCCTGAAACACAAGGGCTTTCTCTTGAAGGGGCACTTCAACTTGTTTTGTGACTTAATTAAGGAGCATTTAAGAGAGGCTGCTGTTTTTTGGTGGAGGTGATGCCATCACTTACAGCAAATACTCTCATACAGGAAAGAAATATTTAAATGTGGACACATTTACTCCACTTATTTTCAGCCCAAAGTGTTTCTCCTGTCACTTCAGAGCACTAAGTATCTCTAGACATCCCATCCTGGGGAGTCTTTGAAGTGGCATGAGATTAAGGACTTGCACAATTTAGATTTTTAGAGAGCAACTGTTCATTGTCTGCCAAATACCCTCTGACCTTCAACTTAATCAGGAAGTTTAAAATATATATATATATATATATCTACACACACAAACACACAATTTCCTGAATCTCCTTTCCATAAGTCTCTTTTGGTCAGTGGGCATACTCAACATACCTTTCATACCAATAATTAGTCTTTCCTGCCCTCTGCTGCCAAATATGACCAATAAACTTCCTCGCAATCCATTGGAAGCATGTGATTTTAGTAGACAAATGAGGTATCCCTTAGCTGAATACAGTATCAAGTAAAAAAATAAAAGCAAAGGGGATATTAAATATAAAAGATAAGCTATTAGTTAAAATAGTAACCCTAACAATAACTTAAGGTTTTACACAACGCTTAACTCGCTGCTTTCCAAAGGCAGCAGGCTGTCTTTGCCAGGGGTTCCCATTCCAGGTGCAGCTCCAGGAGTCAGTAAGTCAGCTTGGATGCTCTGCTGTTGTAGCACGGCCGCTCTGTCAGCGTGCCGGCCGCGTTCCGGAACGCGGAGCTCTCGCCTCGCACAAGGACCAACTCCAGCTCTTGGAAGTCCTGCAGTCTGGCAACATCCTTGTCCTTTTAAAGAACAGACAGAACGACGCATTACTCCTTAACATAGCTGGTTATTACTTAGAAACGTAGAATTTAAGGGTTGGAATGGACCTTACAAATCATCCAGTCCCAACCCCTGCCCTGGGCAGGGACACCTCACTAGATCAGGTTGCTCAAGGCTCATCCAGCCTGGCCTTGAACACTGCCAGGGTTGGGGCAGCCACAGCCTCCCTGGGCAACCTGGGACAGTGTCTCACCACTCTCACAGGAAAAAGCTTTTTTCTAATATCTAACACAGACTTTCCCTCCTTCAGTTTGAACCCATTACCCCTTGTCCTGTCACTGCAGTTCCTAACACAGAGTCCTTCTCCAGCTCCTTGTAGCCCCTTCAGATATTGACAAGCTGCTCTGAGGTCTCCACAGTCTTCTCTTCTCCAGGCTGAACAGCCCCAACTCCCTCAGAAGTTACTTGTAATAATAACCCAAGGAAGTAAAAACTAAAATTCCAACAAGGTCACATCTAATGATAGCAATAAATAATGAAAGAAAATAAATCCTACCAGCACACACACTGTCAAAACAGGTTTGCTTGGTTTTCTCTGCAAACTCCATTTTATTCTTGAACCTCATCATGATTTGACTGCACTTGTGTCACTCAGCTCACAGTTGTGACCAGTTTAGTTTACAGACCTCCAGAACAGATATTTTTGGAACAGCAGAGTATGTTCATTGGTTAACAGCATATCTTTAAATTATTCATGTATCAATTTGTGGAGAGTTTTTTCCCCCTTATTGTTTGTTCTGTTTAGTGCACGGCAGTTAAGTTAAAAGCACCCTAATGTTCTGTTGCTGATACATTTAAAAACTCAAGCTGGAGTAGTTTCATGTGCTTTAGGAGCTGAAATACTCTGCCTGTTTCGACAGGAATATTTTTAAGCTATGATGAAGTTTTAAGAGTAGTTCAACATCCTTTTGAATTTATGAGCTTAAGTCAGTTTTTGTCTTTTAACAAAGGTGGCATTTTACCAATCTTTTTACGAAAAATACCTTCTCTGGTGTCTGCAAAGTCAAGTTAATCTCTGGTTTCAATTCTTACCTTTCTTACTAGTGTATTGGGTAGTTTTCTGATCTTCTCTACTTGTTGTGGATTAATGCCCAATTCACAGCAGCTCACTCTGAGCAGATCTTGATAGGTCAGTTCTTGCCTGTCCAGTTCAATCTCAATGAAGTCATTGTCTCTGAGGTTCTGCACTCTCACCTTGAGCACAAGTTCTGATTGAAAAAAGATTAAAAGATTTTTTTTTCTTAAAAAAACTCCAACCAACCCCAACCTAACAGTACAGTTACCATTATCTTTTGGATTCAGGTGTTGTAATTCAGTCCCCACGATCTCATGGAGAACTACTGTGCACTTAATAGATGCTTCCATTTCAACAGCAATAAAATACACAAGGGAACCACTGTTAAAACTCTGATCCATCCAGTCACAAAGTCAAGCTGTGACCAAACTACCAGAGCTGCATTTGATGCTATATAATACACTGCAAAATTTGAATTTCCATATTGCTTGGACTGATCTTTCCATCGGTTTGCAGACTATTACCATGATTTGTGTACACTGTAACAGTCATTCTGCTTAGCAGAGCAGAAAAACATATCTGGGTACTTTTGGCCACAGAATTCAGCATCTCTGCCTCTATTCCACTCGAGTCTGACAGTTCAGTGATTCTTTAACTTCACCATTCACCCAGTAACAAAACCATGGCACAGACCGGAGGAGAGGAAGCAGCTCTCCATTACCTTGCACGTTATAGGGGAAGGTTCCAGTGAAGAAGAAGGGCTGGAAGGCCGGCGCGAGCCCGGTGGGTGAGCTGTCAGGCTGCAGGGACACAGCCTGCCTGGACATTGCAGGGGGCAGAGCCGTGGGGCACACGGGGCCGTTGGGCACCCCTGGCCTGGCGCAGGGTGCTGGGATCACAGCGGGTGGCGGCGCTGCGGCGCCCAGTGCCGGGAAATCCTCCTCGCTGTCGCATGATGTGGGTGTGCATATGCTTTCAACCTGAGCTGCTGATGGGCAAGGACTAGTTTCACACTGGGAAGCAGAAGAGTTGGAAGCGCTTTCATTCTGGGATTCTGCCAAGCTGCCTGGAATGCTTTCTTCGGCGTACGCGTAAGGGAATGGTGGGTTGGCCAAGTAGTTGGCAACAATTGGCAAATTTAGATCCTTCACTCCTTGACACTCAGTTTCTTCCTCTATTAATGAAGTTCAAAAATGAGTAGGGGGACACAGAGAGAAAACAAACCACCATGTTATTGGATAGATCCTTCTCATTTTCCTATTGTGTTTTAAAACTACATCACATTCTGAGGTCATCAAAGGATGATACTAATGTACCATAAACATGTAACACCTGGCTGTAAATGACAGAAAAGCCTACAAATATCTACAATGTATTCTGCTTTTTAAAAGCAAAGTGGGGAAAAAATAACCATTGAAAGACAACATCATTCCTAGCAGTTATTCCAGTGCTTTCAAAGGAACTCTGTGAGCAGTAGTTCCTCAGTAAATCTCATTTTACAATGCTTTTAATAGCACAGCTGCAAATAGTTTGTTAGCACCCAAGCCAGGAAATTCAACTCAGTATTTTTTCAGGCAAGTGGCTATTTGCTGTAATACCCAAACCAACTCTTCTCTTGCTTAAAAGCACTGCAGTAAGTGACACTCCTGCTTGACTGAGGATTACAGGACATTAATGCCAAAGCAGTTCAGAAAGATCTGCTCAATAGCACCACACTCCCAGAATAAAAACTAGGAGAATGTAGTGTGTGTTTATGCCACAGGAAACACATGAAAGCTTAACAGAAAAGCAACTATGAACAGATTCATCCACACAAGCATGACAGTTCAGGTGGGAAAAACAAGGTGAGTCGTTTGCCCAAGAGATGAGCACCTTGCCCAAAAGAAAACAGAATTATCATGCAAAGAACATGTCATTCCTTCAGTGGAAACTGTTGGAACCTGAGTCATGATTTAGCTACACCTTCATTTAAGGGAACCCTGCACTGGTGATGTAAGAGCAGATCACTGTAGAGAGCAATTTAAGTGCAATTAGCAGAAGACAGAACATCAGCATTTCCAAAGGTGAAGCACTTAAAATTTTACTCTGGAGCACAGTACCTAGACGCTGATGGCAACAGGCACTGGCAGCGTTCAGGAGTGTCATATACACCTAACTGGGTTTGCTGTGCACATGGAAAGTGGAAGATGGCAGAATTATGGGGCAAAAATTAATCACACTGCAAGTCACAGTACAGCAACATGCTCAGAAGCATTAACTTCTGCAATGATGCAGTTGTTCTGAGGATTTGTAATACTGATTATGGTCAGACAACAGCCAAATTGTAGCATGGTGAGAGCCCCTGTTTGCAGCCTGCATGCTAGTTTAGCTCAGTGACAGCAAACAGACTGCAGCAGCACATTCCCAAAGCAGCTCTTCCATCTCCTGGTGGCACAGCTCAGAATACAAAGCCTTCTCACCTGAAATCCTCACATCTATTTGCCTGAGCATGAATCCCAGTCACAAACCAGAGCTATCTAATGAGATACAATGTTCCCAGCCAAAGTTTTGCCAATCTACTGCCTCAGATAAAAACACTGACAATGCTGTAGTGTTTAGACCAAGAATTCTAGAAGACTTTTAAGACAAGGGTACCTCCCAAAATCCTCCGGATGTCTGGTTTCGATGTTAGCTGTGCAGGCAGCTCTCCCTTAGCAGTGAGGAGCTGCTTGTCTGCACCAGCCTCCAGCAGGCAGGACACCACCTGAGCCTGGTTCCGCTTGCAGGCCCAGTGCAGGCAGGTCCTGTGGGAAGGAAACAGAAGAGGAGGGATCCATTACCCCAACGAGCCTGTCCTAGTTCACCTGAGCTGTGTGTAAAGTGATGATAACGAGGAATAAAATTTCCTGTAGTGCATCACTTTTTAAAGTTCTGATCTACTGTAAGTTCTGCAGGGCAGGGCCCTCCTCTGCCTTCCTACAGCGCAGTGACTCTCACTGCTGTCCCGGTTGGTGGGCATGAGCCTGGAAGGTCCTTGAGCAAACACGCAGTGACAGGTGGAAGGAGGGCAGCCTGCTTTTATGGTGATCCTCTTTAGCAGCAAATCTCCAAGCCTCCCGAGATTAGCTTTTCCTTTGCCGTAAATAGGGAAACTAAGCACCACGAGAGCTGTGCCCCACAAGCAGCTCCCCCCATGCCTGGTGGGGGGTGCACAGCCCTGAGTCCCCAAACACCCCTAAGACCCTGTAACACCCCTAAGACCCTTTAACACCCCTAACACCCTATAACACCTCTCTGCAGGGAGCTGCATCCCTGGGGTGAAGACCCCGAGTCCAGACAACTCCCTGCAGGGTGCTGCATCTCGGGCACTGCATCCATATCC